GCAACCTTTCTGCCTAGCTCTGTACACATATAATCCACGTAAATCATAGTTTTATTTCGTCGGACTTTTTCGTGTTATGAAACATGCAAAAAAAATTGTTGCAACCGATATCTGTGACCGATTGTATATGGGTCACGTATGCACGTGAAAATTGTAATACGTGTACAAGGTGTTGCATCAATATGTGTTCCGACGAGTAAATGGTTACGACGGGTTGCCTAGCCAAAGGCGCATGCACCTAGTAGTTTTCACACACTTAATTTTCACAACTTACAAATAACTTACAAACAGCAATTTACGTTATGGTGCATCTGCGTCGAACAGGAAAGTATGTACAGTTTTTCTGTCTATCCTCATTTCTTCCGCTAATTATCTTATACCGTTATCTTAGGCAATTGTCTGAAATAATGAAATTGCACGAGATTACACAAATAATCGCAAGTACCCTCGAACAAGTGGATGAGAAATGAATACTAGGCACGTACATAAATAATCAATTATTTACAGGAATCTAATTTATGTCTATTTCTATTTGAATTGTGTAGTATGTAAGCTATGCTTTGTTAGTGTATGCTATTTGTGTGCGGGTTTTATAATTTTTTTTTTTAATAAACTTACAGCAGCGACGAGGAAGAGAATATCGCAATTTTGTTCTTTCTGTACGATTAGTGTTTCGCAAGAACGGCTTTGTGCAATGTCAGCAACCGATCCGCACTAACACTGTACCTGAGATGCTCTACCGTTCGTATTTATATTCCAAATCCCATGCTCCGGCTCTGCCATTCGGTCACTGTTATCTTGCATCACGTTACAATCGACTATACTTTTTTCGCTTTTTCGAAAGTGCACTATACATAATTGACAGCAAATTTATGTAAGTTTCGGTGACGTCACTTATCGTTTCGCATCTTCTCGCGCACGAATGTGCGAATGTGCACACTGGATGGCGGCTTGGTGGTGATACGGCGTTTGCAATTACATGCGCAAGTAAAAAGTTACACATCTTCACGATCTTTAGAAGTGCGTTTAAGACATATTTAGCGAAAGTTTTGTATTTTTCCTATTTTTCAATTTTTCTTAAACCTTAGGAAAAAACATTAAAATAGGACGTTTTTATGAAATTTTCCTGGTTTTATGTAAAGACAATAGTTGTATGTAATTTCATATTAGGATGCTTTTCGTTGTTTAACTTAACCGTTATTTTTTAAGTCATACCTGTATCGTGCACAACGATTAGCCCCTTAATTTTAATAAAAAATGTGATCACAATTTTAAACCTAAGTTGCATATAATATGCATACAATGGACTAAGTCTCAAAAGGAATATGTTGAATGTTTGGCAAAACTTAGCTTTAATATAACGTTTCATATTCAGCAAGAAATATACGAATAATACCGTTTAAAATATGCGCAACGATTACGATGAACGTTTTGTTAATAACAGTATTTGACAAAATTTCATTTCGTGTATCTTATGTGATTGAAAGTCGGCAACGTTTATGACAATACAATGTTATTCTTACTCGATTATTCTGGAAAATGGCTGATTAAAGTATTTGTGTTCAGCTTTTGAAGATCGCGAAAAGTCACGCATAATTTGCATAAACAGACACATATGACAAATATAAAATAATAAAATCAAGAGAAACCGTCTTTTAGTGATCGCGTGATCGCGTAATATACATTTATTGTACATACATACACATATAGTGAAACACGTGCACAAGGTGTTGCATCAATATATGTTCTGACGAGCATATGGTTACGACGATTTGCCTACCCAAGGCGCATGCGTCTCGTAGTTTTCACTTACTTTATTTTCACAACTTACAAATAACTTACAAACAACAACTTACCTTCTGTTGCATCAGCTTCGAACAGGCAAGTCTGTACCGTTTTTCCATATATCCTCATTTCCTCCACTAAATATCTCACACCGTCATCTTAGGCAATTTTCTGAAATAATGAAATTTCACGAGATTACACAAATAATCGCGAGTATTCTCGAACAATTCGATGAGAATTGTTATTGTTATTTTGTGTGTGTGTGTATATATATATATATATATAAAGAGACAGTGATAAAGAATATAAGGAGGGAGGGGTGATATTAAAATCCAGGCAAATTTTCTTTCTCTTTTTCATAAGAGTTTGGTTTGGTTGATCTCCACAAAGTTTTTAAGTTCACTCTACTTTATTGAAATGTCCACATAAAATTCAACGTAAAATCCACAAAATCCACACAAAATTACGTATGTAAAAGGTTACAGAAAATCTAAATGAAATATAATCTACGGTTATGTAGTCTAAAAGTTTGTACTATAAATTGACGATGTACTATAAAGAAGAAAATCTCTAGTCAGATTTATTATATTACGTCGTTGTGAGATGGAATTGGTGCTACACAAACGTTAATTTCTTCTACCTGTTCTTTGCCGGTAGACCACTTTGAGCCGCTGTAATTAAAAAAGAATTCTTTAACAGATATTGCACAGTTCCACTATAAATTTTGTCGACACCTTTCTAGCTGACATGTAACAATATTGGCTAGCAAAGCATGATAGATTTATCTGTTAATCTATTTTAACTTTATAGATTAATCTGTTATGATATTATGCTAGCGAATCCTGTTACATTCATATTAGCAAATTGTTAAAATTTATAGCAGATTGAATTGAATTCCAACTCTAAATTGTAATTAAATATATTAAGCGAATATTAAGACTCTTAGATATTAAATTAATAAGATGTAATTTTGGGTAAAAAGAGTGCAAGGATATTAGTTACGAACTTTAATTTTAAAAAAATTTTTTTAATTGTAATATTTTTAATGAAAATTTTCTGACAAGGACTGAGGCGTCGCGAATATGAGAAAAACGTTATGATTTAATTAACAAAATATAATTTTTATTTCATAAGAATAGTATTGGGATAGTTTTTGCGAATAACAATTTTTAAGTGTTTTTGCAAAATGATTTTCTAAAATTTTCTCAAAATTGTTTTCCTTTCCCGTTATAACTTTTCTTGTTTGACATATTTTTAAGCTGTTAATTTCATTTTTTCTTTATTGAAGTTCATTCAAATGCGTAAAATGATTGGTAAAATCATTCACTAGACATAGAAACGTGTTTGCAATTTGATCACA